TTTATTTTACATTTATTTATTGAGTCAACGGGTCCCTCAACTGAACGCCTCAGAAGTGTCGCTGCTCCAGGCTGAGCAGGAATATTAATGGCAAAAATATCATCCCTTTTGTTTCTCCCATTAAAATAAATAAATAAAGGAAATAGCTGGACCAAATCAAGCCAAAAAGATGTTTCCTGGCATCACTGTAGCACTGGAGGATGTTATTAAATAAATAATTTATCAGGCTGATACAGTCCGTCTTTGACTAGTCTAACTAATGAGTAATCAGAGGCGCACGTTGCTTCGGATACGGCGCCGTCGCCACGAGCACTCTCCCGAAAGGTCACAGCTGCATGTTACCCAAATCAGAGTAATTACAGGAGCCAGGGGACCTGCTCCCCAGGCCCGCGTGGCACGTGGGCCTGCGCGGCGCCGCCGCTGCCGCCCAGCGCGTAGCCGCCTTCAGCCGCGTCTAGTGCGCGAGTGAATATTGCCTCTGCCTCAAAATCTGTCAGTCTAACAGGGCAAAGACTTTATCTTCTTCCCATTAGGCTGATTAACGTTTCTTAATGAAAATGCGTCTATAAAACCTGACTTGCTAATACTGATAGCAAGTGACAGCATTTCCCTCCAAAGCAGATGCACAAGAATTAATTGACCATCTCCCCATGCCTACATGCGGAAGTTAAACTTCAAGGTATCCCTTTGAAACCGATATGTTATAATGGAGTTACCTATTGTTTAATTTGCAAGATAACAGGCAGGAAGAGTTGCAAGAAGCAGAGCTCACAGCCCAAGCAGCAATGCAGCTCCTGGCATAGCAGTCCAGATCCAGCACAGCGCATCTGGAATTCCCAATTCAAGCTCTACAGCACTAATGGGCTACAGCCATACATGTGATGCCCACACCAAAACTTTCCGTAGAAAGATGCAACTATATTGCCCTTCCATCCTTAGCAAGCATGCTACCTAGGTTAACTGTAGCTGTAGCAAGAGATTCAACAGTGAATCAGAACGATGGACTCAAACCTTGCATCGCACACTTGGTGATGCAAGCCACACCAGTGGCAAAAGTTGGTTATCTAGATACTTGACTATTTACCTTTTCATTGCAATGTAAGAGTTATATAGAGAATAGTTAAGTGGGTCAGAGAAAATCTGAACAACAAGCTGGCAAAGGCATGCAATTATGAATACATCATGAACAAAACTAAAAGCAATTTTTATGCATTAATGGTACATCAAGCTGATTCAATGAATTTAGCCTTAAAATCATTAGGAAGGCATCCTGGGGCAGTACGTAGTCATTACAACACTGTGCTGACAAGAAATATTAAAATGATAATTTCCAGTGTCATTGATAAAATCCATTGTGATAAGCAGCAGGAGGAGAAAAGCCTAATTCTTAATGAGGAAACCCAAAGCAAAGCCACATAATAGTAAGACTTCTTTAATTCTTAAAACATTTCCCCTATCCAAGAATTTCCTGTTCCAACAATCAAAAGCTAAAAAGGAATTTATGGAGCACAGAACCTGGAATTTCTTGCACTTCCCAGTGAAACCAGTGGCTCCTCCTGCAGCTCCAGCTTTAGAGAGTATCCAAGACCAACACCAAGTGGGCAACTTCCAAGGTTAAAAGCCCCCTCCTAAGGCATTCAATAACCTGCTTCACTTTTGAGTGCAAACTTTTAAAAGAAACTACTAACCATTACCTCACAGCATGTCTACACTTACAAAATTAAGAATGCTATCAAGAGATGAAATTGTGAATCATTCTTACCACATAGAAATAGAAGCAATTCATCATTGTATCATTTTATCATTATATCATCATTTCAAAAGGCTAAGAATTGCCCTGACAACTGCTGTTTACAAATCATGGATTTAGGCTTCAAAAACATTAAAGAATAATTACCTTGAACACATAATAACGTTAACTATGCATGGGTATATAAAAAATATCACTAGACAAAAATGAAATATTACTGTAGAAGTGTCTACATTACAAAGTATGAACATCCTCCGTTGCAATCAAGAGTGAACTCATCATTAACTCTAATGACGAAGTGTAAGCAATGTATCTGCATGCTATTAAATAATGAAATATCTTTTTCATAATATTAATCATTCAAATTATCGCTGACATTAATTGGGGGGAAAAGAGCAAAGGAGGCATCATGAACAAAGTCAGATGGACAAAAAGTCACCAGCAGACCTCTGCAGGCATTGCAGGGGAAAGAGCAAAAGTTAAGAAATCAAATTCTAAATCTACATCCAGACAATAAGAAACCTTCATGGAAATTTCCACTTTCTTTATCTGAAAGGTAGCCTACATCAGATTCAAGTAGAAACCTGAGAACAGGGGAGGAAAGAAAAAAAAAAAAAAAAAAAGCTTGCAAGTCAGACTCTTTTCTGTAAAAACTACTTTGTTGCTTAAAGTGACAGATTTAACATCACTTTTCTATTTTAACTTTCTGAGAAAGCAAAATTATCAGGTGAGGGGAAGAGAGGAAGAGTGGGCAATCGGCGCGACAAACTTGGTACGTATGTATGTGTGTGTGTGTATCTAATACACATGGAGAGAGATATCTAACTGCTCAGGCAAATCACTGCATAGCATTTGAATTGATTAATAGGACTTGTTGGCTGCAAAATGACTGAAAGAAAACCAACCCCCTCCCCGCTGCATCCACGACACCAGGCACATTTCCAAATAAATAGCTCCCTCAAAATCTGGAACTGAACGGTTCTCAAAGCAAAACCAGGGGGTGCACAGACAACATAGCAGAACACTCTAGCAGATATATCCACACAAGTGGATATTTCAATTTAGAAACATTCAAATATTTACATTAAGCTATCTCCTACCATAAAGCATTTAAACCACACAACCAAAGCCAAGAATGGATATTCAACTAAATGTGAGCAAAGTCTAGAAAGAATTTCCATTCCCTATTGTTAAATACATATAGCAGCTCCAAGTCTTGCACAGAGCTGCATTTCTGGGAGGCTGTATGCTGGCAGAGCTGACCAAAGCTTTGGACAGGATGTGTTTTCTCCCCTCTTCTACCAACTGTAATAAAACACTCTGACCCCTTCCCTTGCTAACAGGCATTTTACATGCAATAACTAACCTGCACCGTTATAGCAGGCTTATAAAATAACTGCAGTTATTTCACAAAGGCTGCTAGCACTGACTCAGGGTTGCACCAAAATAGCGTAATGGGTAAGAAATGGTTAATAACATATCTTACCCTTTTAGCAATCCCCCTTCACCTGTCCCTCCCTACCCTCAGTCCTTCTTTTCCTTTTTTTTTCTTTTTCTTTTTTTTTTTCTTTTTCTTTTCCTTTTTTTTCCCCCCCCTTTTTTTTTTTGGACAAAATTTACATCAAGAAGTGGCCTCTACAGTCAGATCAGGCTGCTTTTGATATGAGATAATTGATTGCATTTGCTCTGGAGAGCACATGAACACAGGCAGCATTACCAGCCTGTGCTTGTGAGCAAACAGGGGTGACTGAGCAGGCGGTCACTTGAACCACATCAGAAAATTTGCTTGCAGTCCTACTTAGAAACAAAACAAAAACACAGCAATGAGGTGCTGAAGAGCACCCAGTATGTTAACAAGCTGGCCCTGCACTGGCAGAAATGCAAAGCACTGACCTGCTCTGTGACCACTGCAGCAACAGTTGCAAGTGGGCAACGTGGTTGAGTATTTTGCATTTATGCTTACTGACACATACAGTAATTGGAACAAAATAGGGTGTATGCGTTTAAGAGCAAGAAGTTTGCATTTCAGGATCATCACTTTTGTTTGCTATTGAATATAACTGCTCTGAAGATTTAACCCTGTAACCAGTTACTCCCTATTAACTGCTCACACCATTCGTTCACACCGCCCTCATTTAACAGTGCTAGGAAGGTAATTTTTCCTGTTATGAAAATAAAGGACAAAAATTGTTAAGAATTGGATTTGGTCCCAGACATGCCTGGCAACTGTAGAACATGCATACAGTATCATTCCTAATCCTATTAGGTAGTAAATAATAAGGAGTTGTTTGAGGGCCACATCAGTAAAACAAAACCTTGCTGCTGCCTACACACTTGACTTACACTCTGCTACCTGCTATTGACAGTGTGTAGAGACACTAAAAAGCTCCTGAGAAGCTGAAGAGTTTTTCCCACGGTTGCTTTTTTTGTTTACAGCTCTCAGAAGCTCCTTAAAAAACCCAAAAAGGTGGATGCCAGAAAGACCTACCATCACTAACACTTGGAATATTTATGGAAAAAAAAACCTAGTCATAACAATAATTTAAAAAACTGTTGACAAAAATAGGAAAACACAGCAAGTGACAGCTCTGATTTCCACGTGTAACTAGCTCAAGAGAAAACAATTAGCACATTACATTGTATGGTGTTCAAAGTTTTGTCTGAAATCTCACCAGCTGGATGGTAACCTATACTCATGTTGGCAATTAAGTCCAGTACAGTGCAGTTTAGCTCAGTGTTTTCCATTTAAGTTAGAACGGTTTGACTTCATTTTTAAGACAAGTCTTTCATATATATCTCAGATACATGTCAACACGATGCCGTCCTGCGTAACTGCAAATATCGCAGATCTTGGAAAAGAAAAGGTGGCGAAAAGAAAACCAGAGAGTTTGGAGGGAGACTTCAATACAATCAAGGTTTTTAAACACGCACAATTATTGCTGCAAAGAGATGACAGGTTCAAATAACGCACAGTCAGGGCTAGAGCAGACGGCTACAAAAGCTAGAGCTCACGGCTGCTGGTTTCCACAAGAGGGTGCCCGACCACCAGCTTTGCACAGCCAAGCCCCAGCCCAGCATCTCCAGCTCTTCCCACGGGCAACACTAAGAAACAGCATTTTCTTTTTTAGTTAAACATTTACAAACAGAAAAGAAGCAACCATCTGAGCAAGACATCAGGGGTTACTTAAAAGTAAACAGCAGTGACACTACTTTGTGATATGCATGATGAATGAAATAAAGTCATCTTTACCATCTTGGAAGACCCTCTCCACGTTGAGCCCGTAGGTAGCGCAGGTTTCGTAGTAAGTGCATCTCTTGAGATCGTTGGATAACTTCCTCGCTCTGGCGTCGTCTATAACACGAGGGTTACTGGAGCTTATGGCATCTGCAGCAATAGCAGAAAAATACACTGTCAAATCTAATTAAAAAAAAAAACACCTTAAAACTACCAATACCCCAACAATGGATTTAAGTACAATTCAAGAGATTCATAGAATTTTTGGAAAAAACATCACAGGGGAAATTAAATACTTTATACTTCTCTGCAAGTTCTACATTTCTGGCATGCCTTTCACTGCACTGTCTAGAGTTTACCTGTAGGAGCTAGAAAAGAAATGGGGAAAAATAAGTCACTTGGCTTGTAGCTACAATTCCCAATGGCAGTTGGTGTTGTCCACCTCTTTCTACTGTTACCCTACTCAGCTCCCCCAAGTTAAAGAAATGCTAAGAAATAGGAGATGAGTTTGCTTCCCACCACACACCCTAATAGCCAAAACTCTGCATTTCCTACTTTAGGAAACATTTCCGAATTGCCTTTTAGTTTCCTTGAAAGCAGACCAATACTCCCCAGCAAAGAAAACACCTTTCTGGCAACACCGGATTGGAGATTTCTCTATACTGACATGACTATTTACCAGCTGGTGCTATTGCCACATCCCAGTGTGATCTAATTAAAACAGGTGTTAAGAAAGCTGGGTTTTCATTTATTTTAATCTATAGCAGCAGAGGGCGCTGAAGACATTTAACCAGAAATAAATAACAAAGTGGCAGCAGCACTTGGAGAACTTTGGCTTCCTCAGCAAACTCAGTCATGCAGCTCGGACTGCAGGCTGCTCCTCAGAACTGGAAGTTGCCCCCCAGCTTCACTTTCCACAACACATTTCGGAAAGCACCTCGAGGCGCCAACTTGAGCACTTTGGGAGGCTGTCTCACAGTTCCTCTCCAAAATAACATTTCAGTAAAATATTGAAGAACAAGCAATTACGTTTCATTTATGCATTTTGATAGTCGTTAATATCTGAAAGCTCTATTTTCTTCCCATGGTACCTCCAAATTTAGAAAGTATTTTTTCTTCTTGGATGCATTAAAACAAGCATTCTCTTGCATCTCTGCTGCAACAAAAGGTGAACTTGGAAAACCAAACACACTTTTAGTAATAAAACAGAAAGCCATAACCCAGAGCAACATAAACTCGGAAATAAACACACCTCAAATGCTTTCCTCCTCTGATCTTTCAAAGACAGTTTAAGTTGACAGCACAGCCCTTTAAAGCAGCTCATTTCTACTTTTGGCTGCCGTTTTTGCTATCCTAGGAGTTTTTCTACCCACTTCCCTTTTCATTTTTCTTCATCTGTTTCCGCCCCGAGGCCCTGGTGTCTCGCTGCCCGCTGCGCTTCCCCTCGCTCCACGCGGCGCGGGGCTGCTGCGGCTGCTCCCCCGCAGCCCAGCTCCCTTCTGGCCAAGCAGCTGCAGGATGGACCCGTCACTGCAGGGCTCCAACGAGGCAGGGCAGAGCCAGAGCGCAGCCCCTGGGACCCACGACTTCCCCTTGCCACGTTTTGCCATGTTAGAGCTGGCACAAGCTGCGGCTTGGGAACAAGAGAGCGGCGTTTGGTTTCAAGTTGTATTTCCACCTGATGCAAGAACTGATCCATATCAGCACTGCCAAGGTCCTGTCAGCACCCCCAGGGTATATCCCATGGGGATTTCTCTTCCCTTTTAAAGCAACACTTGCAAACCCTCTTTCAGCATGCTGAGGAAGCCAAAACAGCAGAAATTCAGCTCTGCCGATTACCTGCCAGTTTAGCCACAACATGTCAGCATCAGATGGGTGTCAGGACCGAAGCAAGAGGGCAAAACACAGAAGCGTGACATGGCCAACCCCGCACGGCCATGGAAGTACACATGGAAGTACACCTGTAGGGAATGTCATCATCAAGACCACACTTACCCTGTGTTCCCACTAGTACCATTGGGATTTCACTAGTGTTACGATAGTTGGCCATACGGCTGTAGTAGTGGTAAACAGTTTGGAAGCTAATTTCATCTTCCAAGCTGAAGACAAATATAACAGCATCCACCCACATGGCAAACTGCGGGAAAAAAAGAAATAGAAGCAGCATATGGTGAAAAAAAAGACACTGAAGGGGAGAAAAAAAAATCACCGTACACTGATGGAAAACAGAAATACACATTACAGTAATTTTATTAGCAATAAAAGCCCAAAGGCCAAGTTGTGCTATATTGTTCATAAAAGGACGAATTAACCTTCATCATTGTGCCAGGCAGGATCTGGAAGAAACCAAGCTTTTTTTTTTCTTTTTTTCTTTTTCTCATTTTTCAAGTTCTCCTTCAATATATGACACTATAAACCCAACTACTATCAGTGTAAACTGATTTTGTTTCAGAAAACAATAATGAACCAGAGACTGACATTTCTGTACAACTAAAACCCATTTATTTCTAGGCATGGGAGTGCCTCATTTACTGTGTTATTTCCGCACCTGGTGCTTTACATGCATGTTCACTGATGCTCCTATTAATACCAGGACAAATTAAATGGCTGTGGTTTTAGAAATATGACTAATATAGTTGCTCTATCTTGACAAACGTTCAAAAAAGTTAGTTTCAAATTTCCAGTTATTCACTTCACTAACACCTTAGCTGGATGAGCCACACCGAGTACCTTGTTCAGCCTTCAGTGTGCAGAAAATGATGTTCCTTTGGCATCAGTAACCCAGTAAGAGACATCCACACAAAGTACAGCTTTAGTAGTCATGCAAAAGAATGTTTTATCTAACAAGTGAGGATAAACACATTTAACATAAGAGCAAATTTCTCTTTCCATAGCTACAGCCCAAAGGAGACTCAGTTAAGCTCAACCTCATTGCTCTCATGTTTCCCAAGTAACTGAATTCCCATCCAAACAATGGAAACCAGTTTTAGTCCTCCTTATTCATGCTCTTCATTGTTTTAGATATTTATATTCACAAAGTATTTTGAATACTTCAAACCAAACACTACGTCATCTCTTGTGGTTATAGTGTAGTATCAGCAAAACATTCTTGGAGGCTTTCAAGATAGTTGGGAGAGGAATCACTTTGGACATAAGGATGTAACTGTTTTCATACCAAACAGTTGCTGGCAAAATAAGGTCAGCTACCATGCAATTTAACTTCAGCTGTTAAAACCGGAAGATCTAACCAAAATTACTGGAAGCAGTATCATCAGTGAGGACTTGCTCTTTGATTTAACTTAAACATATCTACGTTGACCAGAACTGGCTGAATTACGCCAGCAATTTTTGCTTCCAACAATGAGATCCTGAAAGCACCAGTCTTTAAGCTAATGGTCTCTTCAGAATAAGTTAATACTTGTCAGTATATTGTTCAACACATTTAGCGTAGCAGTAGCTGTCAACTGAACATAAAAAAAGTTTTTTTAAAAAACAAAAAACAAAAAAACAAAAAACAAACAAACAAAAAAATCATCTTGAGGAGTTATTCAGTGCAATCCCTACAGTCATAAAACATTTCTAATAAGTAATTATTTCTCTTATTTTAACCTAAGTTTAAACTTCACAAATACCTAACCTGTCAAAAATAAAAACTAAAGGACTTGTGAAAAACATGCACTACCTGAAAAGCCAAGGATGCCTCATTTCAGACTAATACACTTCAAGTTTCATTGTGCAGGGAAGAGCTTGAGGCAAAAGAGATTGCTCTGTTTTGTACACAATCCATCTCCAGTCTCACAACCGTGATTAAATCCATTTTTTACCCAAGACAAGTCCAAACTAAGCCAAGACATAAAGAAAAGCTCTAAAAATCAAGAAGAATGTGAATGAGCTGTATAGCTCAGCTGTGGCATTAACTGGACTTTCCAGGAGGAGAACATCGCACTTGTAATAGCTTACAGCAAGAGCTAACACCAAACCTGACATGCAAAACAGATTATCTGTGGGCACAAGTTTAGCATGGGGCAAGAATGAAACAGTGTTGGCCAGTGCAGTTAGCTAGGTTTTTGGTGCTTGAAATGAGCTATTTGCAAGTTCTTTCCATTTTTTCATACTAGAGGAATCTTATATTGGATGTGAAAGATGACTGATGCAGAAAGTGAGTCTTCTGGCAAGGTTTTTTTTTTTCCCATCCCTTGGTGTCGGGAAAGGGAGAGCAAGCTGAGCTCTCTGTTGCAGCTTTAATTGTGCTCTAGAAAGGAAGCCACCATCTGGGAATGCTCTCAGCCCCAGGACTGGTGCAGGTCACAAGTCCTGCATTTTGCCTTGGTACTTGCTGTGGTTGTACCTCTCCTGATTCTCCACACACACAAAAACGTTGCATCAAATGTTGCAGCAAAACACAGACTTAAGACTAAAAATAACCCTTTCTATACCATAAAACAGGTCCATGCTTTTCTTCAGATCAGGTCCCTTTGGTGTTATGCAGTTATAAATGATTGCAGGATTAAGTTCTTTATTCAAGAATTAACACCAAAAATAAAGATCTTGCTGCAAACACCCAGAATTTGAAATTACACCAAACAAATTTGAAAAAACACCACACTGGCACGTGAATCACCTCTTCTGAGAAGCGCAACAGCATCTCACAGAAGCCTCCCCCAAGCCTTTCCATGATCATTATCTGCTGAGGTACAAACTCGGCAGCAGCAACGGGAGGTAATAAAAAACCTCAGATTTACCTAGCATGCAAAGGCAGCACATTGTTCATTCAAATGAACTCTGCAAGAAAACCAATTCTTTCGGTACAAAGATATTTAGATTCATGAATATACCTCTAGTCTTCAGGGTTTTTTTCCCCCAATGAATATTCTATAAGCATCGAGGCCTGAAAACCGTTGTGAGCTTCAGCCAAATTCTTCACAGCCGAAAACAGTGCAGTTCATTTAAGCTCCTGCCTCACCCGACTGCAGATGTGTCGGCGACACTAAGCTTTTGTTTTTGCTCTTCCTTCCTTCCAGGGATCCGGTTCCTCTACCTCTTTTCTCCCCTATGTCGCGCTGGGTCTCCGGTTCCTCTACCTCTTTTCTCCCCTCCTTTGTCCCACCACCTTCCTCCACGCTCCGAAAGCTTCCTGCAGCTCATAAGCAAAAGCGGAGGCTCAGAGCACAGGCTGCTACTGCTGGCACCTCTCCTGCTCAGCTGTTTGGCAGCGGCTCAGGTCTCACTGCTCTGCCCCTAAGTAGTCAAGCGAACGAGGCCAGAGCAGAGCACACGCTCCAGAGACCTTGCTGATGCCCAGGTAGAAGGTCGAGGCAAACCGGAAGGATGGAGAGGAGCAGGACCTCCAGCAAGCGGGTAGTCTTCTCCAATGCAAATCCTGCACACAGCAGGGAAGCTGCCTCCGATGAGACGAAGCAGTGCAGTTCACTACACAGACACCACTTCACAACTTAAGGACTTAGTGGGGCTGAGCTACAGCTTGGAAAGTTGAGGCTTAGGAGGCCCAGGAAGGAAAAAGAGGAAGCCAAACAAAACAGGGAATACAGATTTGTACACAAGCTATTTAGTGTTTACCTACTGTTTGAGGACTTAGGCATTTGGGCTCCTAAGAAATCCCAAGTCTGCAACATGCATTTCTCTTGTCACCAGAAGCATCTTCTGGTTCTGAAGCTAGGCATTGGCAACAACGCACCCTCCCATCTTATATTGCTTATTTTGCATTGTATTGCATCGTAAAACTACAAGTATTTTCTCAACAAAACACTTCTCACTTCAGGGAAATATATATATTGCCATCTGGAAGAGCAGGACCAAGGGATGAACAGAACAAAGCAAGTTTTCTTAAAAGGAAGGTTCAGATAACATTTAAAAAAAAAAAAAAAAAAAAGGGAACATGATTTTAGCCTGGTAAAGCTCTATATGCAATGCTCACCTGTGCCTCTGGAGGGCCCCCTTCATCTCTAATCAGCAGCAGATAGCTTTGTCCATCCACTACTATCTCTTTCTTGAATCTCCCACCTGTCACACAAAGTAACACATTACAGGAGAAAAAAAGGTACAAAACACAAACTAGAAAAAGGCTTCGCTTGGGGAAAAAAAGAGCTCTTAGGATCTTTCCACATGTGCATAAAACATTGTGAATATAAGACAAGCTACTACACTCCAGCATAAAATTATTACAGAAAACCTAAGCCAAATATTTTTAGGTCATTAATGGGGAAAAAATGCCAATTGCATCACGAATGCTAATTTCCATCTTATGAGAACTTGGTTTTGATACACATTTCAAGATGGTCTTCTGCAGTTTGAGGTAACTGAGAAAGCATTCTGTGCAGGCAACCGAAACACCACAGGTCAGACCTGAAATAGGTTTCCTATATGCCTTAGGTTTTCCTCAAGAGAAGCCCAGTTCTTAACATACATAATGTTATGAAAATGGAACTTCTATATTCACAAACCACAGTTAGAGGTAAATACTAGACACATGTTAGACAAAAAAACTACATGGTGGTACCTCCATAGAGATGCATAGAACTTTTAAGAAATGTTGCACCACGTGCTGAAAGGGTGAATTAAAGACTTGCTTTGGAGAATGAGATAAGAAAAGAGCAGAATCAATGCTTGCTCCAAATTCTGGTCCTGTTTGCTCCAGGGAGACGGAGACTATTGGGCGGTTGTGCAGAGCGGAGGACGGGTGCTGGACGCGGAGCTGGAGGGGGCCGGCAGACAGGCCGCGCGGCTCCTTGGGTCCAAGCGGCGACGCAGAGCACAACCCAAGGGCACAACAGGACTCCTCCAGGGCCTGGGGCTTTGCGGGCACCACGCTGCTTCTAAATCACATTTAGGGTTTCTGAGATGACTGAGCCTAAACCAGGATTAGCCAACTTGGCTTGCTTGAGTCTTGGGGAGGGATTTATGCTCTGCTGGAAGGGAAAGCTTCTCATCTGAGCCAATAAGCCCCCAAGGCCCTGGGGCCTGTATGCCTCACTCTCTCCAGTTAGCCTCCCATATGAGTTTTCCAGGCCAAGATAAAACATATCTATTAACTAACATTAAACTTTAAAAAAAATGACTTATTTGTAGTTTTATTTCAATCCAATTCCCCAACTATGCTTACTTCAACACTTGTCACACTAGCAAAGTCAATACATTTAAAAACTTGACAGCAGAACGGGCAATTCTCAGCTCCAACTAAGCAGCTCTGAAGCAATAAGCCAGTGCGTACAGGCTAGCAGTGCCCTCAAACATCCAATTACTGCTAACCTTGTGGCAACACCAAACTGCCTTAGACCCACTGACCCCCAGCCCCGTCATTACAGTAGGTTTCAAATTAAATCTACTCAGCAGTTCAGCTATATGCAATAGGTAAGAAGGCTTAAAAGCATTTCATGATTAATATAAGACATCAAAATAAGATTTTATTTATTTTAAATTTACCCTATTATGAATGCCTATGAGGCACCAAGCATGGAGCCATTAAGATGGCCACATTTTTATCATTCTGTTGTACAGAATAAGGGCAGCATGTATTTACAGATTTTTCATCATCTCGGCTAACAAGCAAATTTCACTCGGGCTTCCAAGATAAGGGGGAGAAAATAAATATTAATAGAGGAGTCGAAAAGGGAAAGATTAAAAAATAAATCTGAGAGGACACCAGCCTTAGCTCTCAGAAAACTAGTTTTTACTAGCCATATAACTCTTTCTATTCCTATAGAAGAACTTGGTTAATTACTTGTATGAGCTTCATAATGAAGTATTAAATAAAACTAATTACTTAATGCATAGCTCTCCAGAGACACACATTATGCTTTAAGTAACAATCGAAAGGCAGTATATATTTTTTTAATTGAAGAGTGAATATTCTGCATAATTGCCTTCTTAGTTTTCTTTTTTGAGCACTGGAAGTTCGCATGGTTATTTATAAAACACCATGAACTGAAATGATATTTAAGAACCACCCTTAATTTCCCTCTTGTCAATAGGCTGCCTTTCAAACCTCACTGCACGTTCGTGCTCGGTCCTCAAAGGCGTAAAGCAGCCACAGACAAGGCGAAATAAAAAGCGTAAGCAGAGAATTGGAAAAATACCCATGACTATAGTATTAAAATACATATGCAGATCACAAACGTCGACAGCAATGTGAGATGAGAGAGGCTTCAAGGTCACTAATACATCGAATTAATTATTTTTGAGGAAGCAGCTGTGAGGTGCGCAATTTTAACAACACCGGTACAAAGTCATCCAGCAGCTCTCCTGCCCGAGTCCACATTAAGCCTCCAGCTCGCACACCTGTTCCTTGCCTCCCCTAAAATGCTGTGCCTTAAATTCGCTGCAACAATAATGTATTTTTATTTCCGCTATTAAAACTAAATAACACACTGCACCGCTTTTCCAAGATCCGTCATGTTGCAAGAGCAGTACTGCAGTCAACAAGCATACATTAAATTTAAACCCATTAAAGCAGCAGCTTTCCCCTACAGCAGGGTATGCTTGTTACCTGCTATATGCATTAGTTTCCATTGGTTCCTTCAAGCCACTCAACATTTTACTCTTGCACATAAACACTGCTGCGAACACGCCGTGACAAATACCCTTCCCACTCAAATCTCTGAGCGGAGAAATATCATTTATTTAATGCCTTGGTTTCCTCCTACTTAACGTTTTCCTCACACCTCCAGGCTTATAGAGCCTAATTTTGATTTACTAGAGATGTCCTTGATACTTCTGCTCCTCTGGAGTCCTCTGACACAATTTTTGTTTTAAATTCTTAACTTAAAGCACAAGAAAAACTAATCTCTTGGATTTCTTCCACATGCCAAGAAAAACAACAGTTGAGCATCATGACTGTCAGTTGATGTGATCAGTTCAAGCTTTTCTATCAGTTCCCAAGTGAATGGAAAAAGAAGGATTTCTCCCCCCCCCCCCCAAAAAAAAAAAAAAAAAAAAGTCTCTCTCAAAGCAAATTTTATCAGAAACCTCTCTCTCTGTACTGCCCATTCCAAACAGCCCAAAGGAGACTGGAATGGGAAAGACCCAACAAACTAATATTCTCCCACTCATTTCCTCAAGTAGGAAAATGTAACACACTCAAAAACACTTAAAGTCTTTTCTCCTTTCATATTCATATTCTCCCATTCAATTCCTCAAGTAGGAAAATGTAATCTCAGCAACACTTAAAGTCTTTTCTCCTTTCATACCTCAAGTAGGAAAATGTAACACACTCAAAAACACTTAAAGTCTTTTCTCCTTTCATAGAGATAATATGTGCATAAATATGAAATGAAAGAGAATCTACAAAAAAACACCCAAAATATACCCATCCCCATATGCTCTCATTTGAGGGTTTTCTTTTAAGTATCTTGTTGATGAACTCCCCAAATTAAAGTGTCCAAAAGGATGCCCTAAATTTTCAGCCAACAGAAGCACACAAAAAAGCCAACATCCTGAAGTGTAACAGCAGATCCACCCTCGTCCTCTCTAGGCGAAACTGTTTATGCAAATTTGAGATCAAAGCAAGAGGCATCCCTACTAATTTGTGTTACTGCAACATTAAAGAGTCCTCATCTTGAGGGTATCATAATATCTGGTACTACACAGGAGAGATGTTAAAAAATACCAATATCAAGCGTTTACAGAGGAAAAAAAGAGAATAATATGTGTATATAGTGAAAAATATGGATTTCTGGCACCATATACAAAGCTTTGACTGTCCTGCAGATATTTATGGTCATCAGATTCCTAACTTGGAGGACAGAATAGCTCTGCCTTGGACTTGATGAGCCCTAACATGACCCATCCCCAGGCCAGGAAAGCAATAGTGATGCCTTGGCAGCTATTTTAATATGGCTCTAACACGGCACTGCACTAGTGATATCTGCAAAATGGATTTGGGGAATTGTAAAGCATTGCAGGGCCATGAGGAAGGAAAAACATGACAGATCAGCTGGTCTGAACACTTCACTACCACTACAGTAGGAGTCAAGAAGTCTCTCCTTGGTACAGAAAGGCACCATAATTTTTATAAACATCTGTATATGCGATGGAGTCACAGGAACCAGCTAGGCTGGAGACACCGAAAGCAGAGAACGACCTTTGTAATTTAAAGCAGCAGCTCAAAGCAGCAGCGAGGAGTCCCGAGGCAGGGAGCTGGCTTTGTTCTAGTCACATCAGCGTTATGACACACGCGGCTTCTTAATGAGGGAATTTCGCGACTCCCCTATGTACCTGCCAAAAGAGGCTGCGGAAACAAAGGCGACGGGCAGGCCGGCCCTCAGCTCTGACAGGCAGCAAGATCCCTCCTGCTCCCTGCTAATAGGCCTGTCACAGCACAAGGAGGCTGCAGGACAAGACATGCAGTCAACAGCTGAACTGTATTTACTTGCAACGTCAATCTCGTGTTTGCGGCTACGGAGAGGTTATATCAGTGAATATCCCAGGGAACTCTCTCCTGCCAGACAAGTGCAGCTGGAAAACACTGTCATGAAATGCAGCGATTTCACAAGAAGAAATTCTTGAAACCACGTGGGAGCTTGGATTTCGGAGGATTTTAGCATGTATTTTCTTTTTCTCTCCCTTCCAAAACTTTACCCTTAAAAATTGCTACAAGACACCATTCTCAGTTTCCCAAGGCAAGACAACACATACAGACTTATTTTTCAAACACACGATTTCACACAAGCATGCAAATATTGCTGTGAGAATGGCACGCAATGCCTAGCAGAAGGTAGAGACATGCTCATGGTGCAAGAAACACCCAGGCGCAGTCTGTAATGCGCATCTGGCCCCATCACTACTGAAAATGCTCTGGATGAAAACGCAGCTTGGACCAATAGAGAGCTAAAGGGATTTCATGCATTAGCGATATAGCAAGTCTGGCACAAACGAGAGCAGCAGGCTGAAGGAGTCAGCAGAAGCTCGTTAAGCTCATTTCTATGCACGGCACCCTGCAAAGGCCAGTGCCTTGGATCAGCAGTAATAAGAAATAGTCCTTTGGTGAAGACAGACACAGATTTTAA